ATTAAAGGGGCCAATATAATTTCTTAAGAGTCCATATACATAGCTAAAGACTACATAATAAGCAACAATGCCAGATAGGAGATACATTCCTTTGAGTTGTTGGCCAGGGTGGCCAGAGGGACTTCCAGATAGTAACCCAGCATAGAACTGGGAAAATGAACAGCAGACCCCAATCTTATCTAAGACAACTGATTGCTGTTAGAAGAGGAACAGCTGACCCTCCTAAAACAAAGACCTCTAGATTCACCAGAAGGGCAAGTAGTGGGGAATGGCTGGGGTTGCCAACAACACAGCAGACAATAGCAGGGATATCAGAGTATAAAGGCTCTAGTTGGGGGAGGGAGACTATGGGAGGGTGCCATCTGGGAAGTGGATGTATAGTTGAGTAAGATGGTTTGGGATGTTCTGTGTGATACAAACACACACACACACACGCACACAAATCAACAAATTTAAAACATGCATTATATTTGAGGAGGAAGCATGGAAATTTATGTCATGCTGATTAGTAGAGGTGATATACATTACCATTTAAATCTACCTGATGACTTTATAGACATACACATGCGCCAAGGATCCAAGTCCAACCGATTATGGCTAGCTGTAACCAGATACATACAGATTAGAGATGCATGCTCCAACATCTCAGTGTTAGTACCAAAAACAATGAGTTTTTCTGCAAGGAATAATATATTCTAAAATGAAATGGCGATCTTTTGTAAAGGTTAAAAAACTCATTCAATTTAATGTCTTACAGGGCTTATACTGAGTTCAATATTGTATAACTATTAACTCAACTGTGAACCTAGAAACTTGCACCCACTTGTGAAAGAGATGTACTCTTGCTCTGGAGTGTGTTACTGAATATGTTAAAGCTGTAGTGAAATGCTTCTTCTAATCATGTAGTTATTAAAAATTTTTAAAAATCATGATTAAAAAAATAATTGTTCACAGCATAAAAATTTGATCCTTAATAATTAGTAGATGTGAAAAACATTACCATTGAAATCTACCTGATGACTTTATATCC